TCCACAACGGCAAGGTGTCTCTCAGGCAGGTTGAGCATTGAAAGACGCAAAAGGACGGGCTGGCTGGAACAGAGGGGTTCAAGGTATCGGCGTTTCTAGCCCCCAAGAAGATGATGCTGGGAGTACCAGGGCATTGTGTGAAGTTCTGGCTGCTTAGCCTTTTGAGCAGAGCCCAAGAGGTGCTGACTGGCTCACACTGGCCACATTTGGGTCCGGCGCTGCGGCCAGGCAGCCCTGCGTCTGTCCTGCACTAAGCGACGGACTCCTGTGTGGGGACATCAGCCCTGTTGGGTATCCAGGACAGGGCTCCTGAGCACCTGTCTTTTTTTGCCTCTCGTGTCTGGCCTGACTTTCCCAGCTCCCCTCCTGCTGCAGGTCGGAGCGCTCCGGCTTGGAAATTTGTCTTTTTACAGTAAAATCACTCCAAGAAACGCACAACCTGAAGCTTCAAGTTAAACACCCAAAACACCAGTATACAATTTTTCTTTTTAATTAGAAGCATTAAAAATGGCAACAAAGAAGAGATGTTTGATGGATGAACACAGGGTTTTCAACCTGTTTGGGAGATGGAATTCGCTTTTGCAGAGATCAATGGAAAACCAACGTGTCTTCTTTGTCAAAAGACTATCGCTGTGTTAAAGAAAAAAAACCTGCAATGGCACCATGAATCTAGTCATCCTGAGTTCAAAGACTTGTATCCACCTGACAGCAAATCATGAAAAACAAAGATACATTCCTTACTGGACGGGTTACCATACTCAACAAGATATGTTCCATTCGCTAGTTTGCAAACACAATCTTCACATTGATTGTACTTACACTCCAGAAAATTACAGTACAGTATTGGCAGTTTTTGCTTGATTTGTTAAAATTGTGAAGCAAAACAAAACATATAGTCAATATAATGATCTTCTGTTGATATGCGTTTTAATAATTAAATTCCTGGACTGTCATTGCTCATTAAAAGTGCTGTCCTATGGGTGGAAATTGGGTAAATACTGCATTTTAGTAATATCAGCAGAACTGACTTAAATGGGGCCTGCGTCTTCTGCAGTCCTCCCTTAATCTTTGTATTCATGCTTCATTTCCCTATGTCTAATAAACTCATCTACATGGCTCCATCAACGGAGCCATGTAGTCTAGGCATACCCCTGGAGTGATACCTCCCTGACACAGTATAAAAGGAGCCGTGCACTCTCCCTACCCTCAGTTCCTTCTTGCCAACAAAAAGATGCACTGACAACCATGTAGCCACCTGACGGATGTCCTAGATAGGGATGTGAGTCCTGAATGCTGTTGATGAAGCCTGCAGCCCTGTTGTGTACGCCTGCACAATCAGTGGCAGGGAACACCAACCAGCTCGTAGCAAGAACATATACATAAAGTGATCCAGTTTAAAATTCTCTGGGTATAGATCGGCCGACCCCTCATTCACTCAGCCATAGGGAGAACAACCGGGTGGATTTTCGGAATGGCCTAGTTCTCTCCGGGTAAAAGGCCAGGGCCCACCACATGTCCAAAGAATCCTAACCCTAACCCTCATCATCAGAACAGAGGGGCTTGCAACAGAGAATCTGTAGGAAAAATGCCTTGACCCAAATGGAAGGCTGACATCACTTTCAGTAGAAAGATCAGATATGGACGGAGAGGAGCCTTGTCCTTTTGCAAAACCCTATACATTGGTTCCGAGGTCAAGACTTGAAGTTCAGATACTTGTCTAACCAATGTTATCACCACAAGGAAGGCTACATTCCAGGACAAATGCGACCAAGAGTACATGGTCAGCAATAAGCCTACACAGGCCCAGGTTCAAGTCCCAAGGAGGGACCAGGGTTCTGACCTAAGGAAAAAGACACTCCAGACCCTTGAGAAACCTGCATGTCATATCACACATGGGAGAAGACCATGTGTCCCAGCACCAGGGTATGAAAGGTGGAAATAGCTGCAAAGTACATCTTGAGAGAGGAATGTGCCAACCTCTGGTCTTTCAAATAAAGCAGGTAACCTAGGATCTATTGGATCGGGGCCTTTGTCAGGGAGATGCTGCAATCCGTCGCCCAACGCAAAAACCTCACCCATCCATGCCATGAGGTGCAGCAATGTGAGGTTAGGCTGAAGGAGATAGCCATGGTCCTGAGAGTTAATTGTGAAGTGAGGACAAAAGCTTTCCTTATTTGTGAGGCCCACAGAAGGGCCAGTCACAACTGCAGTTGTTATGTTCACCGCACAGCATAGATAGCACTCCTGGTGCATCTTTGGGATGGTCTGGTGCCTCAAAAGAAGTGGAGTTAACAAGGGCTTATGTCTCCCCCATCCCCACCAGCACAGCACCACCTCTCAAAATAGAGAGCTGCATCAAGGGAAACACATTGCACTAGGGATGTAAAATCCTGGTGAATCAGTTAACCGGATAAACTTTAGGTTAACCTACCATTTAACAGGTTAACTGACTAAGCAGTAGTCTGGGCAGGGAACCCCCAGCCCACAGGGCTCCCGCTCCCAGCCCCATGTCTGGGATTGGCTACCCACTCCCCACTCCAGCTGCCAACCACACGGAGCTAGCTCCCAACCCCAACCTCCAGCCACTGGTGGGAGGCTGCTCCCGGGGAGCCAGGAAACTGGTTAACAGTTCACATCCCTACATGGCACTATCCAGAAGAGCTCCCTGTTGGTTGCTAGGTAGGACTTCACAACAACCCTGTCATCAGTGAATAGCTAAATGCTATATGTTGACCCTAATTTGTAATAGGTCCCCTGCTCATCAGTGTATATTAGCAACGTTGAGCTACAACTGAATGATGGTGAAATCTCCACTTTGACTAAAATCTGAACCCAGCTTCTCTTTCACTGCTGGCTAGAGCAGACACTGTTTATCCATTATTTAGTTGTGGAGTGGCAATGTCAGAGCTTTTTTCTGATAACGATGTTTAGATGATGTATGTTGCACAAATAAACCACCTACATTAAAACGCCCGCATTATTATACACAGGAAATTTTCCACCCTCTTTGAAATGATTTGTCATAGTTGTCTTCACACTTATTCCGTTTCTTGCACCATAATTTACTGGAAAACTGTTCCATAATTGCTAGTTTGACTTTGACAGGAATTGTATGACAGGAGGATTTCAATCATTCACAGTCCAGAAATATCAAATGTTATCCTCACAGTGACAATGAAATCTATACTGGCACCACATACAATCATACCACTCAGCATTTCCACACATTGAGGGAACCACTATTTACCCAACTGCCACCACCAAAAATGATTTATCAAAAGTCTAAAAAGGCAGCAGCACAACATTTTCAAGGCCTCTCATGGCAAGGAATAGTTTTTTTCTATTTTTTTCTTTATTAATTTTCATGATAGGTAAAAAACTACACAAACAAAGCAACGAGTAAGAAATTCAAATTAAAACTGCAATCTTAATGGAAACATTGGACAAAAATGTAGAGATTTATTATCTCTTCTAAATTTTTGTATAATAGGAAAAACATACATGGTGTTTATTTTCTTGTGTACACTAACACCTTCAGTGGCTACCATATGATTTAGCACAGGATCACTGCAAAATTAATCACTCACAAATCATTCATACTCTGATGGATTTCTCTCCCATACCATTATACTGCGTTTTAAATATCATGCTGATATTTTCAAAAGAGGATGCTTAAAATCAGGATGCTCAGACCATATTTAAGCACTTAATTTTTAAAAGTGTTCAGTACAGTGCAGCCTTTGAGCGCTCAACATTTTTAAACTTCATGCTACATATTTACGTGCTTAAAAATGGAATTAGCAGCCTAACATTAAGAATCATTTTAAACGTGTTTGGCTCATGTACTCTATCAGTTATCGTGATGAAGGACATAATAAAACCTAGCTGGATTAGACTGATCTATTTTTAAATGATCTCCAAACATTGTTTCCAAGTCTGTTTCCATGTTACTATAAAACTGCCTACCTAAAGAAAACATTTGAAAGACTCTGTAAGGAGAACATAGTAGAGTTTCCCGAAGTCTTGTTACCTTTCTTTGGATTCAACTGCAGGAGCATACAGTATGACCTTACAACAGCTAATGTTTTAAACTGAAGATAGCATGATTCTTAACCTACATGGAGGTATGGTAAGTTAGAAGGGGGAATATTTTGCCCAAGATCTTAAATGGACACAGCTGTCCTTTCCTATTTGAAATGAGCAAGTTTTCTCATTAGTTGAAAGTTCTAATTTGAACTCACCTAAGAAGCAACTGCAATGATAAAACATGAAAATATATTTCATACTTTTCTTCAGAAGATCAGTATTTTTTCTAGTTCTTATTATGTCTGTAGCAAGGTTTCCTCGAAGCTGCATAGCAGCACAGCACCATAGCTGCTTAATTCTCCCTACCCAGCCAGAGGTTCAGTCCCTTCCCTACTGGACAGGAGAGATTCCCTGCTTTGGGAAAGCAGCTACTGGGAGGTGCTACTGTCATGGAGGGAGAAGTGTCCTTCCCCCAGCTAGGCACGCATGGAGCCCTGAGCCCCTGGCTAGGCAGGGATGATTAAGCAGCTTTGGGCCATGCTGCAGCACAGCATAGAGGGAACCTTGATCTGTAGTTAGTCTGTAGTTAAATATTCATATACAATATGCAGCAAACATTTATGCATTCACAGGTTAACACCCCTAAGAAAAATGCCTCCCAGAACTAAAGGAAGAATGATTCCTTAACCATGTCTCCATAAATCTATCCCTCTTACGTACTACCCTGCATCTACGTCATGGGTTTGGAGTTTATTTTCCCCAAATAGCTTCCAAATCAATGTCTTTTCCAAGTTACAGAACAAAAGGAATAAGGAACTGGCTGAGACATTTACACATTTTACCTGCAGTGAAATGCCAACTCTTTTATCAAAAGGGTTTAACTACTTTGCTACTAAGAGGAAGAATGTCTTAATAAATCCACCAAATGTCACAAGTTACAGAGGAAAGTCAATTCTCTAGAATCTTTTCCTTACCTGCCTAATGTCCCTCTGAGATGATAGTGAAGAGGAGGCACTTTTATGCGAGGGAGTGGATGTTCTGTGAGCAGGAGATACACCCTTCTCCTCTGAACTCATAGTTGCAGCTAATTTCTAGTGATGATCTTGTGCTGTGAAGACCATGCCAATCTCTTCTCAAACTCACAAATAGAAAAGGGGAAGGATTTTCCACATTATTCAATTTCACAATTTATCTTCTGGAAAGGAGGAGATGAATTCAAAAGACATCCAAACTTCACCTTAGTTAAAACAAAAATGGGAGAGGGAAAAAAAGGAGAGTTTCATTACACATCTGTAAGCAAACAAACAGAATCATTGTATTTGCACTGACAGAACTCTAAGTTGTTTTATCATATGGTTTCATCAATACACATAACAGCTCTCACAAATATTTACCTAGGCTTGCTTGCTTTCTAGTCAGCTGGAAACATTTGTCCCTTGGATTTCAGAACATGAGGTTTTACCCCATGTTAAGACTTTCCTGCATGAACTCACATACAAATGCCTGACCCTTACTTCAACAAGCTCTATCCATGCTGGTGACTTCATCCTGTAGAGCAAGACTCTTTGGGTACATCTAAACTACATGCCTCTGGTGACAGAGGCATGTAGATTGGACTACCCGACATAGGAAAATGAAACGGTGATTTAAAAAATCACTGCTTCATTTAAATTTAAATGGCTGTCGCGCTGAGCCAATCAGCTGTTTGTCAGCTCAGCGCGCTAGTCTGGACGCTCCGCGGTCGACATCAAAGGCATTTGTCGACCTCCCAGGTATGCCTCATGACTCCACACTGACAAACAAATAAAGCACCTTCCTCATTAAAAAAAAAAAACAGACATATACACTTTTGTGTATCAGCCTGTAGTACTGTTTCTACAAGAAACAAATGGATCTCTATGACGGTCGTAGCCTCTTTCGCCCTTGTATTAGAGGAAAAAGTAATAAAGCCACACTCAAACTGGGCTTCTCTCATTCACATTAGTATCCCAAAGACTGCCAGACCATTTTAACAACGTTTTCATATTGCACAATTACAATACATAAGTATGTGCTGCAGAGATTTATATCAACATTGGTATTGCAAGAACTATATAATTCAAATAAAAAAATCAATTTTAATGTTTAAAACTGCTGCACTTTTTAAAGATTTGACACAGCAGAAAGCAAAAATGATAATCCCAGTTCACTGAACTGTACAAGTGCGGTCTTAAAATAGCTAAAAGACAACGTTTTCAGCCATGAACGATAAAAGTCACTTACATTATTTTTAGCATACTAGCTTTCAGGTAAATGAAAATCAAATGGGTTTCAACATAGCTGATCTCTACTGAGTTAATTATTAAGAAAAAATTGTATGTAGGATTCGTAGGGTAAGACAGAGATCTGACACTTAAGAGTGCATCCAGTCCTTAACGTATTCAGGAAGACTATGCACTGTTGTTAGAACCAACTCAGTGCTAGCACGTAGCACACAAGAACAGTTTTACCAATGGTCACTTGTCCTGAGCTATTGGGAAGTGCTTTCTAGTCAAGTCCAAAGTTTTAAATAAAATAAAGAAATAAATAATGACATTTGAACCAGACTAAGGCTTTGTCGACACTTACAAGTTTAAAGCACGACCATAACAGAGCTTTAACACACGGCACCAGAGAGCTCTCCCAGCACTATAGGTAATCCACCTCCAGGAAAGGAGTAGCTAACAGCACTGGGAGCCAGGAGTGTAGCTACAGGTGGGTCTGAGTGGGCCACAGTCCACATACTTAGCATCTAGAACCACACAAATTAGGGCCAGAGGTGGGGCCCCCCCCAAATGCACAAGCTGGGACTTCCAGCTCTGGCATGGTGTCCATCAGCCCAGGTGTGCCCTCCTCCTGCTGGTGCTATATGCTACTGCCTCACTCGTCATTCAGCCCCAGTGCTAGCTCTGCATGGGGTATGCTTTATGGGAGCACATCTGGGTAGGGCTAGTGCTTGGCCAAAACAGGACAGGGCCAAACTGGGGTCAAGAGGAGAAGGCAGAGCTTAAGCCTTGATGGGGACCCCTCCACTCAATGGATGCACCCCACATTCTGTGTGCCCCTGGTGCCTTCTGAGTAGTAAAAAGGTTGAGGGAGGCTGGTCCCCATGTTCCTGAGCACCAGATTCCTCCTGCATTCCTGATTCTTCCTGCCCATCCTCCCCAGGGCCCTCCATCCTTCCCATGCCCTCCCCATATCATTGCTTGCTCATCTGAAAGCAGGGGACTACTCACTTTTCCTGTCCTAGCTACACCAGTGCTGGAAGCCTTTTTACACTGGCACTTTACAGCGCCGTAACTTGCTATGCTCGGGGGTGTCTGTGTGTATTTTCACAGCCCTGAGCAAGAAACTTACAGTGCAGTAAAGTGGCAGTGTAGACAAGTGCTTTTATGATAAGAACAAATTCACTCGAGAGACAGAGCTGAGACAACCACATTTATTAAACTTATTAAATCACTGACTGCAAACGCAGCCCAGTTTATTGCTTACATATTGCTTATCTAAAAGTATATCTTCATGAAATTACACCAAACTGCTTAATGCAAATGTAAACAGTGATTCACACACAATATAGCTTATAAACAGAACTTTCCAGTTGGTACATTTTATAACATAACTGTGCATTAGTATCTGCTCAAGGGTGACACTTCAGTAAATATTACAAGTGTTAACAAAATTAAATATTTTTAGCACCCATGAATGAAACAAATAGAGAAACATGACTGAAAAATAGGCAGCTCTAAGAACAGGAGAAACTATTAACACAACAAGCTAACTTTTATTTTTCTCAAGGCAGGCTCCATTCCTCCCTAAGACCCCAAGCTTGCTTTGCCTCTTTCTACCCCTATCTGCCCCCAAAGGCCCCCACTCATCCACGACTCACTGCTCTCCACCCTCCCACATGAGCCCTCCCTTGCTGCCAAACAGTTCTTCAGCACTGCCTCCAAAAAGTGGTGGCTAGTGGGTGCTGAACACCCACTACTTTTTCCTTAGGTGCTTGAGTCCCTGAAAACTCAGAGTCAACACCTATGCTATGATCAACAGCTTGTATTTTAGAAAGTAATGAAAAAATCTCCGGAACAGTGTACCAGCTTTGAGCTTTCCTATGTTGTGTGCAGTTCAGATCCACTACCCTTCAATAATTATTTCCTAAATTCTGCCTGAAAAATAAAGCATCATATTCCCCTTACAGCATATTAAGAGAGTTAAACTAAAACAACAAAACTCCAAATGCAATGAGTTCTTAGTCTCTCCATAGCTAAAATTGAAGCTGGCTTTCTACAGGTTGAAGCTCCCTGGTTTGGCACCCTTGGGACCTGACTGGTTCTGAAGGAAGGATTTTGCCGGATTAGGGGAGGTCATTTCTGGCTCTTCCTGCCACCAGCCCAGCTGGGCTTGCAGCCACAGCAGGGCTGCCAACTCTCCTGCCACCAGCATCCCTGCCAGCTTCCTTGCCCCACAGGGCCCACTGAGCTCCCCCACAGTGAGTTCCCCACGGCTCCTGGCAGCTGTGGTGAGTTTCCCACCATGAGCTTGGGAGTCACAGGGAGCTCACTGCAGGGGTTGGGAGCCTCAACTCCCAGTATTCACAAATTTCACCATTCGCAGTGGATGAGAGAACACATCCGCCGTGAATGGCGAGGGTTTTTTGCAGTCAAAACGTTGATGATATAAAGGAAAATTAAGTTGTGAGCAAGAGGCAGACCCTGCTCACAGAAGCTGGCAAGAACAGGGTGAATACTGCAGAAATATGCATTCCTAAGTGCTTCTAGGCAGACAAATATATACATAAGTATATAAACCCCACAGATGGTATCAGAGCACTTCGATATCAAATGCATTCCCCAATGATGACAGGAAAACACTGATGCACCTTAAGGAAATGGTCAGGGTGACAATATGATGGATAGAGATGTTTTGATCAAACACGTACAAGTAATGAGTGGTGCTCTAGTACATCAGAGGGTGGCATCCTAATACATCAGAGGCAATACATAATTTGTTTGTATTAATGTATAAAGATGTTTCTCAGAGGGAGTACCTTTGGCAAGTCTAGGGGGTAGTAGACAATCCTGCCACTGACTGAGCTGAATCCACTGTCATGAGCATACATGTCTTAGTATCTTCGCAGAGTCTGCCAGGTGCTATAACTTTGCTTCATCAACAATAAACCTGGCCTTTGTCCCTTAAAGGCTCTTGAGGTCATTGGGCGATTTGCTCAAGGTCTGTCATGCTAGCTACGTTGCACAGGGCTAGTGCAGCACACAGAGGGAACACACAAGCAGCCAAACATTTGTCAATATCTCACCACATGGGATACACTATGTTAAACTGAATTCAGTAACCTGCGGTTGGCCTCTTCCTCTAATATTTGGAACTTTCGTATGTGTATCCCTTTCCTAATTTAAATTTGATATTGAGACCATATCAGATGTAGCTACTGGTTACAGCAAAAGGGGAAACTCTCTTTGCACCAGTCCAGGACAGTGGGAGCTGTGTGGAAGTGCTGTTTACTTTGCTACAATCCACTCTCTCAGCTATAATTTCCCACTTTTTCGTGTATACTTTTCTTGGTGCTTAAGATCAAATATTAACTAGGATTAAGACACTGATACATAAAAACTTAATCACTTCCTACTTCCATCATTCCATGTATCAAAGGATTAAATCTGTGTTTTGAGAAATGAAGGAAATATAATGACAATCATGCCTTCCACAATTTCTCATGTGAGAATTCTAAAGACTTTGCCCTATGGTTCTGCAGTATCAATACCACTTTGTGAGCCTATTAGTCCTGCCTTCAGCTGTCTACTAACTGAAACAACGTTAATTAAAGCAGATGAGTCATAGTGAATGGTTAATCTCAGGCTGAGCTCTGAAGCAGTTGACTTTTGTGTCGATATTGCATTAAACAGTCTGAAAGATCTGTAAGTGCTGAGAGCTACTTACTGATTTATCTCCAATTGTTAACTGGATTAGAAGAACGCACATGAATCAACATTCTTGAAATAATTTCTTAGGAAAGGTATAGACAGAACAATTATGAAGAAGTATAAAATAAAGAATGAAATATTGATTTACTAAAAATAAATTCTCTACCTCATAAACTGACTGGGAAGGGATTATTTCAATTTATTTTGATCAATTTTTATTAAAAATACATGAAATTCATATGCAGCTATAGATACATTCTAAAATTTGATTCAGAAGAGGTCC